CACATACTATTTTTTTATTTATTTAATTCACACATAACAATGTATCAGCATTTCAATATATAATTATTCATTCTATGAGCAATTTTTTAATTTGTATGAGTCTTTTGAAAACAAATGCAACAATTACCAGCCAAAAGCTGCAGGAACAGCAACAACGGTTTTCTCAGCACCATTTTAACGCGAAAATTTTTTATAAAAGAAAATAACTGTCAACTTTCGAATCTTCAGAATTTCACTCAAAAATTAATTTCGCTTAAGAAGTTAATTGCGCTGTGATCGCGTTGACGTYGACGAAACTAAACTAAATACAATTAAAATGCGATCACGCCAGCGAGCGTTGCAGATCGGTTATTGGTGCGATTAACTAAAGCACTGCTCTGGTGACTGCAATCAATTTATATACAAGAAGCAAAACAGAGTAACGCCAAGCCGGCTAGCCAAGCGCTGCTTGAGCACACACACACACACACACGTGCGCAAGTGGCCGGAAGCACCTGAATTTGCAAGAGATCAGACCAAGCTGCGAAGCCAGCAAATGTATGCGCATAAAAACAAGTGTGTGCTTRGTCAAACTCATAGGCATTTACGCATATACACGCCTGCGCTCAAAGCAATCCACTCACATACATGTACTCTGTATGGGTGTGCGCGTATGAGCGCTGAAAAATGCCTGGAAGTGTTTATTGTTTTTGCGCCGCCGCACGGGTTTTGTTTTTGAGTATGCGGAGATAATGGTGTGGCTTACCGTATTCATCTACAACACACACATACACATGCGCATATATACACTGAAATGTGTTTACATTTATTTGTGTGTGTTTGTTGTAGCCCTGCGGTTATTGCTTGTAGCGGTTCCGGTAGCCGAAAAGTAGGCGTCTCAAGCCGACTTGGGTCTTATCAGTTCACACACACACACACACACAGCCACACATGCACAAGTGAGCGCGTATAAGTGAAAGGTATGATATAATAATTATGAGAATTCTTGCGTTTGAAGCAACAACAACAACAACAACCACTTGGTCAAACGTTTTTCTGGTGCGAAATTAAGAAAAAATTAACCGGTTAATTGCTAATAATATACAATTTATGACAAAATAGCCCAAATTTTAAGCGTAGAAAAATGCTGTGTATTCTCAATTGTAGCAAAGGCAATTAGTTCTGAGGTTTGAAAATATGTGTTCATACATGTGTACTTATACATACATATATGTATGTATATTGGTATATATACATATATATATTTTTTTTAAAGCTTATTTTAGCTTCCAAAATAGCGAARTGAATAATAGTAGGTTAGTAAAATTTTCATTAAATATTTTACCAAACAAAAATGCTAATTGTCATGCTCGCCATYTTTGGGTTATTCCCATTTAGTCATGTAAGCCTAATCATAGACACGCATATTTTTTATTAAATTTTGTTTAGAAATTTGTTGTTACTCACTGAATTTGTAAATCAGTTTTCTTTAAAATAAAATAAGAGTTTTTTGGCTCGTTTAAAAGTGGTTTACGCTTGGATGCTGTTATGGTGATTCCGCCCTTGGATGGTGTCCATAAAAAAATTTTGTACTGAGTTGAGTTTTTTTTTTCCTTGAAAACGGCCACCACGGATAATAACGTCACMAATATCCAAAATTTCGTACTGACAAACGAACGATTGAAGAAGAGAGAGATAGCTGAAAGAGTATTTATTTCACCAGTGAGCAAAGAGCAGACGAAATTAGGGACTTCACCGCASGAACAGTTTCCGAAGGAAGCGAAAAGAATTCTACCTGACCGAAATGTAATGCCGACGCTTTAGTAGGGGCTCTCAAGGTTTGATCTACACTGATTACCTGGACAAAGGCAACATTGTCGCAGATACATATATTAACCATCGTAAAGGATATGAAGTCTATTCCTATGTCTTTCACAGCGGCGCCATCAACACCTTCACCAATTCCCTTCTAGTCAATAGCGTACTCGGAGTCAAACCACCATCCATAGCAAACGAGGAGCTCGAGTTGCCGCGAGAAACGAGAGTGACCCTTGTGCAGCTTCGTTCTGGATATTCTAGCAGGTWAAACGCCTACTTATCTAGAATAGACTCCGAAATATYTAATATATGTCCTGSGAGCAATGAGTCTCCGMYTGACACTGACCCTTTCTTTGCATGCTCTRCCAAMYCCACTCATCTAACACCYCTCTCCTTTTGCTCCTACACTGTCRCAACGACACGTTTCTTGAGCCTTCCGTTGCATGACGTCGTTTTCTCTTCAATTCCCACAACAGCCGGTTCAACGTTACTGTATGCAGATGAATTTCAGTCAAAAGGGTGCTATTTGGAAGATGTAATCCAGTTTGGATAGGTATAGAAAAACATATTTTACATACTTTTGAWACTCATTTTGATTTTTCACTTCTGGCTCAAATGAATACATTGAAAAATTTGTTCTCTCGTTTTTCATTCGGTTACTAGATACTTACCGAACCTAAAGAAGTCTCGACTTCATTGGCTTTGAATTCATAATTTTTTTTATATAAAATCTGCTACATATAGTATTCCAAAAAAACAACCCTTTTTTAGATTTGAGAGAGAAAAAAAGGTTTAAATACATATATATATTTAAAATTTTTCTGTAATTTTACATAACATACCAATCATATTTAATGCATAGATAAGTAATTTACTTCTACGGATAATAACATATATTTACTCATTCCACGTGAGTTAGCAAAATTTATGTAGAATAATTTAGTACTTCATACTGAATACTAGACGGTTTCCCGTGCATTTTTTTAAAGCAATTTTCATCGTATAATATTACATAAAATACTTAAATAATAATTATTATTGTAARTGTATTACACCATTGGCTTCGTACAAAACAACACACTATTTATTATATCAATGAATTTCTTCAACAAAATCAGTCCATTATAGCCACAAGCACGCAGTATAACTTCATTAAATCGCTGTGCATCTCATAATTCTGAGGAAAAGTAGATTTTCGGGTTTTGTCAGAATTCAATATCGTCCCTGTCGAGGAAGTGCGCCTCTACATGTTGTTGGAATGCTTCCCACGCTATTGAGCCGTCATATTTTCTGCCACACATAGGACACACGCGTTCAGCGGCATCCATATTGAGTACATTTTGTACTTTGTCATAGTAGGAATCAACGCCTAAGAAGGTTTCTTCTTCCTCCGCTTCATTGGTGCTGGACAGGTCCTCTTCTTCAGCATCGTTGGATCCGGACCATGCTTTGTTGCCTTTGGACACATTATTCTTATTTATATGCATTATTTCACTGAAACTTTCGTCAGTTTCTAGACTTTTGTCAGCCATTTCGGGTTTCTGCGATTTCTTCGCACAGTCTGCGCACGGCTGCAGTGCTGTATGTATATATAAAATTTATTAACATATAAGTAAGTGTAATTTATGAGCTGTTAAAAATAATTTTTTTGACGGCTTACCAATTCTAGTCTCGATAACAGTAAGTGCAGAATTAAGTTCTTGTTGTTGCTTGAGCGCCTCACGTTGCATTTCCTGCAACCCTTCCATACACTTTTTAGCTACAGAAGTAAAGTCTGCATCATCGACATTATTATCGTCTACATTTAAGTAGGCGAATCCCAAGTCACCATCTGCTGGTAGTACATAATCATTATCTTCGACTACGTCACATTTCTGTTCAAGCGCAACATCCTCCATACTAAATTCTTTACCATTCGGTATTAGCTTATGGCGTAAATTAGGATTTGGGGAATGTTGTGTAAATGTTTTGGAACGTATAAGATTTTGATTTGAACCGCTACCATTACGTGGACTTGTCGGATTATCATCTGGCTCATTGCCGGTGGTGTAATCTGGCTCAGGAGTAGCACCACATTGTCCAGTTTTATCTTTGGCTATTTGTGACAGCCGCGACCATAGTTTTCGATTTTCATTTGAAACCATATTGATGTGYTCGCTTAATTGTTCTTTTTGGCGATTCAACTCCTCGACCTGCACGCGCAGTTGCAGCAATTCACCCGCCTCAGTATTGATACTGCCATTGCTAGTTWGTGTTGTGTTTGTTTGTTTAACTTGGTCAGAACGTGCACGTAGTTCTTCGTTATCTTCTTCCAGCTCAGTCAATCGACGTTGCAGTGCAAGGCATCTTTCCTTCATAGTTTGTAGTGCAACTCGTAGTGCATATTCAGAAGCAAGTACATTGCTAGAGTTTGGCCCTGATTCCATTGCTGCTTATTGTTTGMGTTTGTGGTGATGTTTATTTGACTCTTGGCTTTAAATTACCATTTGTAATAGAAGATTATGATTTGAACATATGTATATAAAAATCTAAGCAAAACATATAATATTAAATACAATAAGAAAATAACTTTAAGAGAATTTGAGTGCAAGACAAAATACACTAACTGTTATTCATTTTTGACACATAGCATTGTCTTTATTTCGTTGYATCTCCCATTCGTAATAAACACCTACTAAGGTGGTTTGTCAAGCTCATGAAATAAAAATATTTTATCAATGTTAAAATCATAATTAATAATAAGATTTATTCTCAATTTTCCGAAGGGTCTTATAATTCCAAATTTCAAAATTTGCCTGCGAGTAATATATGTTACAAATTTCTTTAGTGAAAATACCAGAAGGATTTTTACATTTTATATGCAAACCGGTTCGCAAAACACTARAAATTTAATTCAAGAAAACTAAAACTGAATTAATTCTTTTAAACTGAACGTSTACGTACTAAAAGTAAAATTAGAAAGAAGAATCTTTTTAAAAATGAAAATTTTATTGCTATATATCGTTTTTAACAACTCTGTTAAACTAACCTGTAATCGACTGTGTTCAATAAGAAATGTCAAATGATGGTCAGCTGTTAGTTGTTTGTTTGTGTAACTTTTAATTTTAGTCAAATATGCTTTGCATAAATAATTTTAAACTAAATTTCTTCAAATATCGAAGAAAAATAAATGAAAGCGTTAATTTAATTCGYAGTCAAAACAGTTGGAAATGTCAACAGTCACAGTCAGCACAGATAATAAAAAATTCCAAGTTGAAAGTGTTATTTTTCGGTACCGACACATTTTCATTACCCAGTCTGCAGGCGCTACATAATAACTAGTATGTTAAAACATTAGTTTTAAAAAAATATTTGCAATAAATTGTTTTAAGTAGTTATTCAAGARCAGAAAGCAATTTACTGAGCGTCGTAACATCTTTTAAAAATCCGGCAAATTGTGTTCGTACCTATGCAGAACAGAAGCAGCTGACACTTTATCGTTGGCCCGTACTTCCGGAAGATTGTCAAGGGTACGATTTAGGTGTTGTCGTATCATTTGGTCATTTAATACCTGAGAGGATCATTAAATCATTTCCAAAGTAAGTGTTTAAAAAATGATAGTATTTTTTTTGCTTCAGTTTTGTCATTCAGGTGACCTAAGATTATTTAAACAAAACRTTAGGAAATAAATATATTTGGTGAAATAATACCTTTTCTTATTTCAGTGGTATGATTAATGTACATGCCAGTTTATTACCTCGTTGGCGTGGTGCTGCGCCCATTATCTATGCTATAATGCAAGCAGATGCGCATACTGGAGTGTCTATTATGAAAATTGAACCAAAACACTTCGATGTCGGAGATGTAAGTTTTTCAGAGTGTTTATTCCAGCTGATGTATATTTCAAAGCTTTTTTTCTTAAGGTGTTGGCGCAACGTGAAATACCGATAAGAGCCGATATTCTTATGCCGGAACTTCATGCACAACTCGCACAAGAAGGCGCTAACTTGCTGGTTAATACTTTAAATAATTTCTCAAGCTGTTTGGAATCTGCAACAAAGCAAAATAATGAGCTTGCTACATTTGGTAATAATTCCATTCCACATTGGAACTTTGTATTAATGTCAAATACTGTTTTTCTATAGCACCCAAAATAACAACGGTCATTACAAATGTGAATTGGTCTCAATTGAGTGCAGAACAATTACATTGCAGGTTTCGCGCACTTTTTGGCTTTAAGCACTTAATAACGAGATTTCAGAATAAAAATATTCAATTGATTGATGTTAAACTACCTGCTGTAAAAGAGCTCCCTGCTTCTTTAGCTAATGTGGAGTGTGGYTCGTTTTTGTACGATCGATATAAACGTCTGCTTTTAGTTCGTTGCGCCGACAACACACACTTGGAAATACATCAACTACGTGTCGAAGGTAAAAAAATTATGACTGCAATAGAATTTAATAATGGATTCCTCAAGCAAATAAAATCCACTCAAATACTGTCGTTTACAAGTAAATAAAGTTAATTTGGCTGGTAAACAAGAATTTATTACTTTAACAATTTTGACGATAATAGGTTTTTTTATACTCTCGCAGCATTATGCTACATAGCATAGTAGTTTTCTTATTATAAAGATGTGCGATAATCAACCTAGATTCGAGGGTTTAACTTCCTTTGTATCTGCCGGTTGCGCTGTAGTTTTCTGCATTAAATTCTTACTGAACCAAACAGGACGTGGCTTTTCCATTTCCACTACGCGCACTTTACGATCAGTGCTTCCGTTTTCAGTTTTATCAAGTTGTTCACCTTGGTATAGMACGACAACTTCGTGTTCAATTGGCTCCAGACCCAACTTTTGCTGGATTTTTTCTTGCATTAATCGGGTTTCCTGCTCAACTTTTTTGTAACAGTGAGCTAAAATTATACATTTTTTAATTTTATTCAACATAGCAATAAAAAATTAACTTACGACATAATACTCCCAGTTCGTGATCATGACCACATTGATTGCATGAGCGCAAGTTRGTTTTAGCAACCAATGGCTTCCAATTATATCCAGGCAAACCGAATTTTCGATTTAAACGCTTTTCAATGGTACGACGATGCTTCGGCACAGCCCACAAAATGCCATCACCTAACAGATTCTTAAGGCTAAATCTATCAGATTTATTTGGTGCATTCAATTCAACACTAGGCATGCCGACCAAAGCTAACTCCACTGTGTAAGAAAAACATGATTAAATAACCAAAAATTTGTCTTATTCTAATTGTGTGTACATACATGGCGGTTGGCCGCGGCGTCCGAAAAATATAAACCTTTCAAGGCGATTTAGGAAGGAATTTAGACTCTGATAGATAGTTCGCGACATTTTTATTGTTATTTTTATTTTAAGAAAATATACAAAAATATTCAAAGAAATTCAAGCAGTAAATGAAAAAATGAATGACAGCTCAAACAGCTGATCTGTATTTTTTGTTCATAGGCAACATGCATGCTGCGATTTGACATTAATGACCAAGTATAAATCGAACAAAGTTATGAAAAATTAGCTAACAAAATGTATTTTCGAGTTATCAGACGTTTTACGTTAAATGGCATGGATTGCGAATAATGTTGTGATTTTATAAATCGATGTTGGGTAATTAATAAAGAAATGGTAGTATATAATTTCAAATTTTTATATTATATAGTCAAAAATACTGCAAAATTCAAGAATTATTTAAAATATATATATAAATGTTTTTATAGTCAAAATTATGATGTTATATGCAAGTTTATATCTCGTTAACATTTCCGTCTAACTTTACATGTAGATGGCGCTGATAAAAWGTAACTACCATGGATGGCAACATCAATCAGCTGTTCTTACAGATGTTTTGCATATTGTGAAAGTAAAATAAAAAAACATGCAAGTTACGTCAAATCAATTTCCAATTCATTTATAAAATAGTTAAATAATCATAAAGAAAATTTAGCAAAAAGTAGTTGTAGTGACAGTGCTCAGTTGGAGCTGTTGTAGATAAAATTTAATTAATCCTGTGTGTTAGTTGTAAGGTGCTTCTAAGGTTGATGGATCGCATGCATGAGCCATGACAATAATCTTAGCTGAATAATAACTTAATCGCTACATGTTAAGCCGGTGCAAACTTTATAAGGACAAATACTTGTTGAATGCGGCAATAGCTTCGTTCAAATTAGAGCCAGTCTTAAAATAGTTGTATACAAATGAAGTGCTAGAAACCCAACACGACGTGCTCGGTTTCRTCGCACTACCACATGTGCAGTTCCGAGTACGAAATGATTTTCTAATGTATACTATATATTCACCACAGCGCAGCCGTAACCATCGTCAAAACATAACTCAGCGAGCCAAGTGAACGAGTTTCCACTGTCGCTGCAGTCGTTTCTTAAGCTCTCTTCAAGTCTGCTTAAATACTTGGTTGCTGCCACATTGTAATAACCTGCGTAAGCCACTGTCGTTGACAGCGACAACAGACACTTTGTTGGAGCTGCTGGAGTTAGACGTAAGTTATCGTCGTTCCGTGGTTGTCTTTYCCGTTTTTCAGTTACTAAATCAAATTTAATTAATATAACGTTATTTTGATTTAACTTAACCAGCGTTGTGCGTGTCCAGTCAATTAAATACCTGTGAAAAGTAATTCAATAGTGAATTTCCAAGTTAAATTAAAAAAAAAAAAAATTATCAAAAAATATTGAGCTTGGCTTATAATCAATGAAAACAAAAGCGAGTGACATGYTTCCTCCTAAAAATATTTAAATATATACTCGTATATATAATACTGAAGTAGATAGAATATACAGGACCTATCGGGCGTTTCATCATCATACCCAAAGTTTATATATTAAAACAAAAAAGTGTAAATCAATGAAGCAAAAAATTTTTTTTTWATAAACCTCTTGAACATAGACAAAGTTTATGATCAACAATAACACAAAAGTATTTAAAAACGCATACGAAAGTTTTTTCAAAAGTGCTAATTTAGAGTTAAAAATCGTTGCTAATTTACAAAAAAAAAAAATCACAAAAATGGCATGTTTAAGCACTTCCGGTCGTAAGGGACTTAACGTGGTCGTCGGTACACGGAACCATCAAACGCAAAAAAATCTCTGCAAATTGTTTTGGCAACAAAAAATTAGCAGATCCTTTTGCTCAAACGCAGCCATTGCCGCTGCGTTACTGTGCAAAAATAATGCGAACAGCATGTCCTCGCTTTTGCCACAACGTAACTTCCACGGAGTGGGCATATTATTGCAACGTAACGCGGCCATAACAACAGGACAGGATTATTTTGCCAATGTGGTAAGCTGTTTTGAAACAATTATTGATTTTGTGTACTTGCATTTRAAAAATCTGTAATGTATGTAATGTGTGTGTATTTCAAATTAACGGATTTTTCAAAACTAGTAAGTGCTTAGACTTCAAAAGTATGTATGGTTGTATTCATATATTTGAAGGCAGTTATTATCGGATAAACTTTTTCTATTATCTGGTTTCCTTGTGTTTAAATAACTAGTAATTTTTTTTATCATTACCACTTTCCAATATGTACTCTGTTCATAKTCAGGGGGTTTCGTATTTACTTCTTCTCTCACAACATTGTAAGCTCCAATATTGTAGATCTGTAAACTAATATATTTAATTGTTTTTAATTCCACCAGTTACAAGTCTCAATGTCAGCATTCATTTGCAAGAAGTCGTTAATCCATTTCGACTATTACCTTTTAGAGAGTTTTGCAACCACATGCTGCCGATTTTTTGCGGTCATTTGAAGTTTGTGATTCAAAATCCTATATAAAGTAGCAGATATCACTGTATTACGTCGACGGCGCGCATTCCCAATTGGTGTATTTAGCGGTTTTTTTGCGCCATGTTCAATTGATTCCTACAAATGCACATACATACATAGAAATATACATATGGACATATATGTATCTACATTAGTAAGTTGGAACTGTTGTTGTAGTTGTTGGTCTAGTGCATTTGTCATCGTTATTAACGACTCGTGTGCATCAACAACATTATCATCCTTAATATTGTGTGCGATGACGTCGCTTTGCATTGCTTCCTCATCGGCAAAGTGCATTGCCTGCGGTTGGGAAGTTGTTYGCTGTGCTTACGCTGCGGTTGCGCCGGTGCGGTAGTAACTTGCAGCATTGTACACACAAATACAGTTTCTACCACCAACACCACCACCACCACACACTGTGCGCAAAAGTTGCTGCAAACGAAAGTGAAATTAATGCACTCGCCTGTTGCTTTCTGGCTTTTAAGTTCGTAACGACTCTTTTTTTTTTGTCTTAATTTTACTTTGTCTTGGCTTATTTTATCGTTTCTCACATTTATTGCTGTTGGCAGTTATTTCATTCGCTTTGTCATCTTTCTTTGCTGCAAACTTCGCTTTCTTTGGCCATGATAKTTTGGYTGATGGTTGTTGTTAATTCATGCGTTTGCCTGGTGTTTTCTGGTTTGTTTGTGCATTAAAGTGTGGACATGAAGTGGCGCTGTTGGTAAGAAAGTGCGCACATACACAGTATATACATCTGTATGTAAGAGTTTGCATGTGAATGGAGCAAAGAAAAGCTCTGCACTATCTGTTGTTGTCTACCAACAAACGTGTTGATGATGAAAACGGTGATAATGACATGAGAAAAGTCGTTGGCCAAATGTGAGACAGGTGTGTTTGCGGCTTCTACTAGTTTCGTTGGTTTTACACACACATTGTCTAAAATTTTTCTACATGCTTCAAACTAAATAGCAAATATAAAAAAGTTAAAGTTGGTTTTTCTGCAATTTACACTTTTGTTATTCTAGTGGCTGTCATCCATCTACAGCCAGTGTATTGTTTTGCATGCTAACTCAAGGAGCACCCGCCACATTATTAGCTCATTATTGCGACAATTTGTTTCTTATTCGTTATATGGAGGCATATTTACGTACATATATTTTAATATTTATACAGTTATCGAATTAATTTTTGCATATTTCCCTTCTTCACAGTTGCGCCACATTATTACTAATAAAGTCAGTAGCTTGGCTTTTCATTTAAATTCTATATGCTATTTGCATTAGAAGCTAATGACATATATTATATATGTACATATGTACATATATTTAATTGTTATTAATTTCACGTCCTTTCTCACTTTTTTAAATTTAAATTCTTAAAACTGATATGGTTTCATTTACTATTCTACTTTCTGTATTTTCACTACGCAGTCTTTTGTCAACAGCTGATTTTTGTTTTGGTGCATGGATTCTTGTTCTACTTGTTTACCATTAGGTCTCAAACAATTGAGAGTGTGCCTGCCKGGAGAGCGTGTCTTAGAAAGCATGTGCGTTTGTGTGGTTGCTTGTGGTGCAATTGCACTTGTAGCTTTGTTTACATTGTTGCTAATACAGTGCTACTCAAACAGTTTGATGCTAGCAACAAAACTTTTATGCTGTATTTTGTGTTGATGCATAAATTTGAATCGAAAAATTAAAATATTGTTAAAGTTATTTTGTATTTTATTTTTTATTTATTAAATTCTACATGCAAACTAAGTGTGTATTTGAAAAAAGAAAACCGATTTTTTGAATTTCACGATTAGGCTATTTGTCAGTTTGCAGTCGTTTTGTTATTGTGTAAATAAATATAGTTAAACGTTGAGTTAAATATTGAATTTATTTTTAAACTATATTATTTAAATAAAATGTACACAAACAAAAGATGTTACAGTGTGAAAAAAAGGGARAAATGTAAACACAAAGCACATTTTAATTGGAAAAATGCCTACTTTAAATAGTTAAGAATCCGAACTTTTAAAGCAAATATCTCGCAAGCTATAAATTTTCTACGGCTATATCAATATTGGCGATCGGTTGCAACTTCTCTATCTGCCCATACCCATTTTATCCTCAAAATATTGGGGCGGTATTCTACAGTTTAGCCGAATTAAAAATGCATTTGTCATAAGCGCCAAAATTATAACATCAATAAACGCTTATATACGAACAGCAATAAGAAGGAAGCATTGTTAATAATTGTTGAAGTCAATAAGAAATGCAGCAATAAGCTCAAAAGCGCTTTCATAACACTCACATACATACATATGTATGTGCCGAGGGTGGTGCCAATCTACAAACATACTTACTATGTGCATGTGTAAATGGTGAGCGCGCGCATGCGCATACAAATTGGCGTATCTCACAGCACTTTTTTGCTTTCAAAGAATGAGACCTTCATATTTGTATGTATGCATATGTCTTAATGTATATACATAGATAGATATTTACAAACACTCCTCACATTCACTAAAACAGAAAAGAAATTTCAGTGATCAAACTAAATTCGCCTATAAAAAATCAAATAATAAAAACGTATGTATATAAGCACAAATAGAAAGCGTTGGCTGCACAAAACACCACAAATTTGGTTATTTGCTCGCTGCCAATAAATGAACGATGTAAGTCAAAAGACAGTCAGTAGTTAGCAAATTAAATATTTTTGTCATCCAAAGCAATGAATCGGTGGCCTTCAATGGCGGAACCTTGATGCAACTACTATTTCTCAACACTTCACCAAATTGATTTCACTAATCGCAGTAGTGCGTTAACTGCCACAGAAATCCATTATTGCTCGGCTACTTTGAGCGGAAAAATAAAATAGKCTTCTACTTTTTTTCTTTTTACTAATTTTTGCCTTGCAATTTTTCTTTACAATTTACTTCTTTTTGTTTATTTTCTTCAAATTTTATTTAATTTTTATTTATTTATTAATTTTTTTTGTATGTTTTTTTTTTGTATCCTGAATATATAATCTGTTCAAGATTGCCACGATGCTTGTAGCACCCAGATCTTCAGATATCKTATTGAAAGTTTGCACAAGCCCTTTTCTCTTAGAAAAACTACTCATGYTTCGGAATCGCCGATATCAGACAGTTATAGAATATACATACATATATAACTGTTATAYAAACTGACCGATCAAAATCTTGCTTTTGTATGAAAAATTTTGTTTTTGTGTAGGCTATTTCAGTTCCGCGTAACCAAATTTAATGTTTTCTMATTTTTATATATTTTTTTTTCGATTATTTGTGCCGATTTCTTTGCCATCTTCCTTCCATAGCTTTCGATTTCGTCTATCGTTTAGCTCACTTATTGGTTGCGCCCACTAAAGCTTGGCAAAAATATGTGAGTCAGTCTGGAAAGTAAAAAAAAAAAAAACAACAACTAAAATTAGTTCATATTAACAGTTATGTGTGAATTGAATTCCTCTACGATTTGTATGCTTTTAGTGCCAGCTACTGCCCTTGTATATGTCTGCTTGTGATCTATTTGGGTTTTCTAACCGCTTTTGCTGCTGTTTTCATAGCGTTACTGTAAAAAAAAAACGCTCCTCCAAACATTTGGCTGTACATTTTTAATGCGTCTTTCTAAGCACGATGGGCCAAACTCTCTATTGCACACATTTAAACACCTGTATATGTATYTGTGAAAAGTATATACACATATATAAATATAAGACATGCCTTTGCGCTGAGTATTTATGCGTTTGATTTATTAAAAAAATGAAAGTGCTTCGCTTTTGTGTTAACTGGTGTTGCTTATTTTCTATTAAATATTTCTTACAAGCAAATTTTGTGTCGCTGACTGCTGGTTATTGTGACCGACATTGCAAGACACGCATTTTTAGTTAGATATACATATGTATGCATATGTATTGCTGTGCGCATGTGTAACTTGTGATTGACATCATTTATATTAAAAATTCAAATTAATTTTTTTTGCTGTACCTTTTGAGGTGTTAACACTTCACTAATTACGCATGTATTTGAGTTTAGGTTTATACATGTGTATATAATTTGTTAGCAGCGGAGTTCACTGAGGTGTCCACATCATCATCAGCTAGTGAAGTTGTCAACTTGTAATCTRTATATGTTGCTATTGTTGTTGTTCTTACATATCATTTAGTTCAAATGTTAATAGTGTTTGCAGTTGCCTGACAGCTCTGTGCCGTCAAAATATTACATTCTAGTGCATATATGTATGTATATTTGATTTMTCATTTTAATATATGCAAATGCAATGCATATAGTTCACTTATGTACATATGTTAAGAAAATGCATACATATGTAAGTATTACAATATTTTTCAACTTTTTGAACTGTGAAGTTATTTTAATGAGTTGTTCATGACTTCAATTACAACACTTTKTCGAACTAGTACTCGTAATATTTCTCTGTATGTATGTCAGAGATCTGTTTAAATGTAACTGAGAAAATAAAGAAMTAAAGTTAATTAGATCATTATTTTGCTG